TGTATGATTTTCATCTTGTTTGTTTGTTATTTCCACTTCTTGTATCTCCTTCTTCTTCGTCTTCACATTTCATCATACGTTCACAACATTTATTTAATATTCACGCACTTCTCTTGTGGCCATTTATTTTTTTTATTTTTTTTTCGCTTTTGTTTTTTCAATATACATATATTCATATTTTGATTTCACTGAAAATAACAATTTCCCACAAAGCATCGTTCAAACATCTATTATATATATATATAAAAGAAAACAAAAGATAACCTCGAGTAAAAAACGTGTCTTCACAACGAGATATACACAATATACAAATATAATATTCTCAATAATCATAATAATAATAAGAACGAATCGATCAATCGGAAATAATAATAATAATTAATATACATGATCTTTGTTAATTTTCCTCTCGCACAATACGCGAGGTGGCGCTGCTCGAACATTGGGGTGGGGCGTAAAGAGAGAGGAGCGTCTGTTGAGTGGGCGGGGTCTGTTCCTCCTCCTACTTCGACATGAAAGGAAAGAAACGTTGCGCCATCTATTGTCGACGCGCTTCTTCCCTCGTTACATAATTTCAATTTAAAAATAAACACATAAAAGTCCAATCGATTCTTTGTTCACAATTTTTTTTGTTTGTTTTCTTTTATTAAAACACACATATCCTAGCAACGATAAAACTTCGCTAAATAAAGGCATCTCATGCAGTCGCGATTCAAATTTAAACAATAAAAGTACATATTTCATAATAATATTTTTTTTGTTGTTGTTGTTGTTGTATACACACACAAAACAAAACAAAAAAACAAAAAATTTTAAACTAATCGTATAATTTTCTTTTAAATAATTTACATAATATACTTTTTTTTTTTTTTAAATATATATATTTTTTTTTTTGTATTTTTATATATATATAATCTAACATATTGTCAAAAAATGGAATCGTTTCATCAATACACTAATCATCTTAACACAAGTAGCTTTAAAACAAAAGAATAATAAAACGAAAATATTAAAAAAACAATAGAAAATAGAAAAGTTGAAGTCCAATAGAAACTTCGCAAAAATACTCAACGTTTTTCTTTAATTTCATCGTCTTTTATTTATTTATTTATTTATATTTTTGTTTTCATATACAATATATAGTTTTTATTTTGTTGTGTTTAAATATCTATAAGGTAGACATATAGACGACATATAGAGAGATATAGTTTCATTTTCATTTAAATTTATATATAATATATTTAATATATTTAATTTCCATAATTCATTCATCCGTTTCGTAAAAAACGAAAGAAAAATAAAACTACAGTATATTCGTAAATTACACTTGATATTTCCTTAATTATTTCCATCATTTCATTCAAAATTGGATATGAGAGAGAAAGAGAGAAAAAGTTGTGGTGTTTTTAAAAAAAAAAAAATATAGAAAGTTTTTTCTTCAAATTTTGTTTTAAATCATCTTCTGTTTTAACGCTTGTTTCAATTTGCTTTGGTCCCATGTGTGTATGTGTCTCGTGTGTTGCGTTCTCATCAATTTGTTTTGTTACCTAGTAACGTAATTTTGTTTCCGAATGTCGCGTGTTTTCTTGTGTATCAATTAAGTGTATACGTGGTTGCGTGTATTTGCGGGCGTTTCCAAGGCGTCATCAATTGTTATGAAACGTCAAACTTCAAAGACAGATTTTGTTTTTTTTTGACAGAAGACAGAGAGAAAGATATAGTTTCTGCGGTTTTAAACGAGATGGCGTTACGCAAAACAAGTTAATAACGTTAAAAAGCAGAGGCGTCTCGTTCAAATTTCATCAAATTTTGTTTTAACTTTTGATAAATTTATAAATAATCGACTCAAAATTAAGAAAAAAAAAATAATAAATCAATTTTGTCTCAGTCTTAATCATCTTAATTAGAATAATAATAATAATATACCAATCACATTTAGTTCTCTTTTTTTTTGTCTACTCATATTCTTTGTTTTAGGTTAGTTTTTGATCTTTTTGTTTTTTCTTCTTCTTCATCTTATGGTCAACGTAAAACAAATGAAACTGAAAAAATGCACCGATCCAAGTGCGCGCACTTCTTTTTTTTTTTAAATTTTATTTCCTTTAGTCTTTACGCAGGTACTGAAAAATTAGTCTAAAGTAAACGTTTCATTTGTTTTTCAATTGTTTTTATTTTGTTTTCATTAATTAATCAATCATCATTTATCATTTACAAATGCGAAGACACTTTTTGGTGTATGTTAAAATATGTTTCACTAATTTATGTTTTAATAATTTTAAGTTCGCGTGCGCTTCTTTCCGGGTTTCTTTTTTTTCCTTTTTTCTCAAAATATATTCTTCCTCATCTTCATGAAGTTCAAAAAGTTTAAAGCTTTCACTTGTTTTTAATTATACTTATATAAATATATCATATCTTGTAATAGAAATATACGCTTTTTGTTTTTTTTTTTCTTAATTCTTCTTTGGTTTAATTAATTAATTAATTTAATTTACTTTATATACGCCGCTAAAACTAAGTAAATACGTCGCTAAGTAACGAATAATAAATGTAAAAACAACAACGTTTAGGCGTAATTTTGTTATTATGGTACTTCTTTTGTTTTCACGAATATGGGCGTGTTCCGAAAAAAAACACTAGTATTTTAAGGGCGGGACTAAGAGAGAAACTTTTGTTTCGATGGGCGTGGCGCAACTTTTCGAAACGAAATATGTCAAAAAGTGGGGCGGAGCAAGCTTCTTTGACAATTGATAAACGAATTTTTGTTTTATTTTCACGCAAAAAAATTACTAATGATAAAAATTATAAAGACAAATTAAATAAATATCCTGTTTATTGTATTATATTATATTTGTTTGAACCTGTTGCTATTGCTTGACGTCGACTAGACCGCAGCGACGAAGAGCCAATAAAAAAGAAACATTTGTTGCCATGGTTACTCTTGTTTGCTTCGTTCGATAAAATCAAGTTGCGTACTCTATATATATATATATATTCGAAGAAAAAACACGAATCAACAGAATTATATTTAAATATATTATTTTATATTTATTAATTATACGTATAAAATCTATCGTCGTTCATTATATAAGTAAGTTGTACTGTAGAATCGGGGCCTTAGATTAGTCGATTTAAGTGCATCGAGCGCGCCGCCGCATTCTCCACCAACGCGCATTTTGACAGATGTCAAAAGTGACAGCTTCGAGGTTAGGGCGGCGGTTCAAAGAAAGTAGGCGTGACCTAAGCGAATTGAAAACAAGAGGGGGAGGGACTTCATTTTTTTTTTGCAATACAAGAGTTACCAACTTATAAGAAGAAAAACAAAATTAAAAATTGAATCGCTCAACGTCGTTACGGCTTTAGTCGCTGTGGGTAAATCGTATTTCCATTAATAACTGTTATATGCATATATATATATATTCGTATATTCTTTTGTTTCCTTATCTATTGTTTTTGTTTGTTAAAAGTTATTGTAGTAGGCGAAAATTAAAGAAAACAAAAAATAATAATAATAAAAGAAGAAACACACAAATAGTTGTATAAATGTGGAAAGATAGAAAGAGAGAGAGAGATAAAAATAGTCTTAAATTGTGTGTTTGTGTGTGTTAGAGTGAGAGACTTATATTATATTAGATACAGGGTGTTTCTCTTTTTTTTTCTTCTTCTTCTTCTGTAATCCTCGTAGTTTGCGGTTTTAAGTTGGTATTAGTAGTAATAATAATAATAATGATAAAAAAAAATGCATGCTGTTTCCATCCTTTATTTCGCTTCCAACGAATCAAAAAAAAAATTAGTATATATATATATCATTCATTTGTTTTTCATTGCTGTTGTTGTTTTTTTTTCCATTCCGTGTGAAACAAATTGCGAACGAAAAAAAAAAAATAATAATAATAATTACAATCATAATAATAATAATAAACACAAATTACATGAAAAAAAAAACAAAAACTGATACACTCTTGTTTTTTTTTCTTATTGTTGTCGCTGTTGTTTTTTTTTAAGATTTTCGAGTAAAATAGTACAAAATAATAATAATAATATAGTATATAATTAAATTGGGTTTTCACAAACAAAAAAAATAAAATAATAGAATAATAATAATATATTTATATAATAAAATAAAAAATAAAACTTAAAAATAAAAACTGTTCGAAATTAACACTAAAAATTCTGGGGGAAAAACAAAAAAAAAACAACTTTTGTTTTGTTTCATTTGTTGTTGTTGTTATGGGCGTGTTTGGAGGGAGGGTGTTGTTGTTGTTTTTTTTTTATATAAGTGGGAGGGGGGTGTGGTCTTTTGTTTTGATTATGTTTTGTGTGTATGTGGGCGGGGCTGTGTCTCCCACAAATATTAAACAAACGTATCAAAAAAAAATATTACGTAACGATTACGAATCTAGTAACCCGTGTTTTGTTTTCGTTTGTTTAATCGGTATTTACAACAAAGAAAAAACCAAGGTTATTATCGTAGTCATAGTGATCATCAACATAATATAGTATAGTAATAATAATAATAATAACTCGTTAATAATAACTAAATAAATGTAGTACAAGTAATTAGCAAGTAAAAAGCAACTTAAGTAAACTTTGCTACGTATATAATATGTATATATATATTTCTCATTTGTTTATTTATTAATTTATTTATATATATATATAGATATTTATAAATTTATATAAGATAAAATTATAATTATAATAATAAATGTGAGAGGATGAGGGGGGAAATTGGGATTTTACACAAAATAATAATAATAATTATATAATAATAATAAACTAAAAATTATTTAACAAATACGTTCATTATTTTTTTTTTGTTGTGTTTGTATCGATTATTAAAAAATATATGTATAATATTTATATGTAATTGAAATTGAAAAACAAAAGAAAATTATATCGATGATCGATCAATCGAGTCATCCTTTTGTTTTTGTTTTTGTGTTGCGAAACAATAAAAGGTAAATCGTGTTATGTGTGTTGTCTATATGGTCGGGGGTAAAAATAGAGTAGAAGCCAAAATAATAATATAGATACGTGGAAAAATCTCAGTTTACGTAAATCATAATTTTGTGTGAAATGCTATTAAAAAAAAAAGAAAACAACGGTGGAATGGTTTCTGTTATTCAGTTCGGTTTCGAGGATTCGAGATGGGCTGTAATTAATGATGACAATTTGTATGTCATTATTGTTGTTTCACAAGTTGCATAAATCGAGTCAAGTTTCTTGTTTTGTTTTGTTCCTTTTGAATGAGAATTAGGGAATGTTTCAAGTTAAGATCATCAGATTTTACTTAATGTAATAGAATATAGTGAATGCTTTAAAATGAGCGCGAGATTGAGCGATTTGTAATGTTTTTTTTTCTTCTTGTGTGTAAATGGAATGTCAAAACTTGACTCAACTTTAACCTCTAAACTTGTTTTTTTATTTTCTCCGTATAATTGTGGAAAAATCACAGCCCACCTCGATTTTCGCTATTTGTCTTTTGTTTTTGTTTTTTTTTTTGTTTTGGATTTGCGCGTGTGTGTTTATGTATGGGGAGAATGTCGTGTCCGGAGTTTGCAAATAAAATATAGTTAAAAATTGATATCAGAGATGTCGTGCTCATCAGGAATGATCGGGAAAATCACTTGTTTTAACATCTAAAACAAAAGAATAATTGAAAATAAAATAAAAATAAAATAAGAGAAATAAAAAAAAACAAATGTACATCGTAATAATAGTTAACAATCAACGTAAATAATAGAAAAAAAATTATTATATAATTAATTAAATGCAGGCACGTGAAAAAGTCTTTTCTTTGCTAATTTTTTTTCTTCTTCTTCATCATCAACTTAAAAATCTTCGTTTTTGTTTATATATATATATAATAAATAAAATTATGTGAAAAACATTCGCTACGCGTATATCGTATGTGTAAATTTCGAATCGTATCATTTTTGTTCCTAATTTGTTTAAGTTTTTTTTTGTTTTGTTTTGTTTTTTTTTGTTATTCTCGCGTATACTCTTCGTATATTCGTATTCAACTACCTGCGTATCTTTGTTTCCGTGGTGACGCGTAACCATACATTGCATAACCTAAAATTCAGTTACGAACGAATACATTCCTTTTCAACGTACTCGACACGTCTAACCTCAATTTAAATCAGTATTTCAGAAACGTACGGCCACGTCACCGAAATCGCTTGTTTCTGATGCGCGTCTCCATGGTTACTAAATATCATTTCCGTGCGTTTCTTTGGACCAAACAGATAAACACTTATTTTTTTTTCAATTGTTTCATTATTTTTTTTTTTTTTGCTATAAAGACATTCAGAGAGAATTTTTGTTTTGTATATATCACATTGCGAAAAATAAAAATATTATAACAAAAAAAAAAAAAACAAAATACGACGAGAGAAATTCAATTGTTCGCCTCCTCGCGGGGTTAACACATTTTTTTTGGCAAATTCTTCTTCTTTACACCTCACAAATCAATTGTATTTTAGACATTCAGATAATATACATATATATAGTTTTTTTTTTAATTAATTAATTTATTTATTTAGCGTATTCATTTGTTTCGTTCGTTTGTTAATTGAGTAAAATTTGTTTTTCATGATCATTATTATTATTACTCGATACGGTTTCGCGTTACTTTTGTGTTTTGTTTTTCGCTGTTTCTATGGTTTTTGCTGTTGTTTTCTATTGTTTTTCTTTGTAGTGTGGAAATCAACTGAGAAAATTATAAACAAAAACTAGTGTTATATAATTGAATTGAGTATATACATGTACATATTTATAGTAGTTATTTGTTATTTATGTATATTTATATATAAATATAAATTTAAAAACAAAATGAACAACGAAAACAAAATTAAAAGAAAAAACAAACGAGTCCAGTGAAATTAATCCTATTGCATCTAGTTTAGTGGTTAAGTTGTAATAATTAAGTTTAATTCTGTATTTTTTTTTTGTCCTGCTGCTATATATATGTAGATTTTATTTGTAGTATTTTTTTTTATTTATTTTTTTTGTTTGTTTTATTGGTATTTTTAGTATTACGTTTCTGTTTTTTTTTTCTTCTTTTGTTTTTACATAAATATAATTGCGTATCATCCGAATGCCGCGCGACACTCAACGCAATTCGTTACGAGTAATTCGAAGAGAACAAAAAAAAAAAGTAATAATATTGTTATCCATATTAATAATAATAATCATTAGTCCTTAGGTTTATACTGAGAGAAAGAGAGTGTTTTGTTTATTAATATTGTTTTTTTTTTGTTTTTTATTTTTATATTGTTTTGTTTGTTTGGTTACTGCTATTGTTTTGTGTGTGTATTGTGGGTTGCTGCACGTGTTCGGTTATGTGAGGTTAGAAAACTCGTATAAAAGAAACAACAAAACACGGAGATTTCAAGTGTGTGTGTTTTTTGTGTGTTTGTGAATGTGAGACAATTGAAAAGAAAAGGTAATCCTTCTACTTTCTTTTTATTTTTAATTAATACTTAATTATTTGTTTTTTTTTTTTGCAAAAATTTTCGTGTATTTTGTTTCTGGGTATAATTATTATTGTATATACGGTTTTCAAAAAAAAAAAAACAAAAATTATTTGTTGAAACAATTGCGCCATTCAATGTGGCAATGGAATGTTGATAACGCGCACGCGCGCTGGGGTGGGCGTGGTTTACGTTTGGATAAGGGGGCGGGGACTTTGCAGTTAGTTTTTCTTGGACAGAGATGGCGTCTCGACATCTTTGTTCATATGTTTTCCGAATTACGTAATATTTATATTAAATAATAATATATATATGTAAAAAAAAACAAACGAACGAACGAACATCTATGTTTTTGTATTAATAGTAATAATATAATATTAGTTAAAAATAGAAAGAAAAAACGATATGTAGTAAAGCGTTTTTTTTTTTCTTCACTTGTCCATTATTTACAATATAACATTATTTATTTACTTTTTTTTTCTCATATATTTATTTATATATTATATATATATACTGCATTTTGGTCCAACTGAAATAATATATATATACGTTTTCATTTGTTTCAATCTTTTTTTATATATATAACTATTTCGGTTCCTATTTAATATGCTGATATATTCTGTTTGTATCAATTAAGTCCTGTTTGTGATTTGCTTTTGTTTGTTTATGTAATTGCGTGTTTTGTTTATAAGAGAGTGGGTGTGTTTGTGTTTGTTGTGTGTGTGTGGAGGGGGTATATTTGCTGTTATTATTGTTTCTATGGTTATTTCTGTTTTGTTTATTTCAATATTTCCGGTCCCGGAAGTGTCGATTGCGCACGCGCTTCGGACGTTTCCGGTCGCGGATGTAGTAAAACTGTCGGTTTCGGTTCGGTTGCGGTTCGTTTGTTCCAATCTGACGGTGATTGTTTCATTAGAGAGAGAGAGAGAGAAAGTATGAATGGGAGGGGTTTCGAACGGTTTGCTGGGAGAAAAGGGGGCGGAAGTACGTCTGGTTGCAGTATTTCATATTATATATTATGGGCGGGGCGTTTGATTTGATTTGTTTTTTTTTTGTTTTGTTTGTTTTGCTTGGTTACAAAAGCGTTACCAACGTGAAAAATAACGAAAAACAAACAATATATATTTTATATATAGAAATTAATAATAATAATACACTAACAAACATAAAAGAAACAAAAACACTAAAAAAAAACGAAACAAAGATAGAAAAATGTTATTTCTTTTGTTTTGTAAGTATAACCCTATCTGGAGTCAATCTTTTATCTCTCGAACAAAAAAATCAAAATAGCAATCCTCGATTTAAAAACAAAAACAAAAATATATATATATTCTCATTCCATTCAATTTAACTCAATCAAATGTTTATTCCTTAACGTCTTCCCGTCTTATTCAATTGTTTAATTATTTTTTGTTTTCTTAATCATCCTTCAAATATATAATATTCATAATTCTCCTTCAAATTTTCTTCTCGCATTCTTCATCTACTTTTCGCACCGTTCATCAAATATATCTTAATACACTACCTAATATTGATGTAAATATATATGTATATATCATCTAATTGCACTTTTCTTTTTCCTCATTTAAAATGTTTTTTTTCCCTTGTTGGTTAATTTTTAACCTTAATTACGTAAGAAAAAAATATTAGAAAAAAAAAACCAATGAAAGAACGCAAAATGGGCGTGGTATGAGGAGAGGGGGAGGACTTTATAGAGATAGGGGCGGGGGGATGATAATAGAGAAATTCTTCATCTCCTCCATCACCTTAATCGTATCGTTTATCGTTTAATTAATAACACACGTTCAAAAATATAATAGTTTTCTTTGAATTTCATTAATTTTTAATTTTTTTTGGTGGCGGTAATGAGGGGGCGTTTTTTTTTTCGGGGGTGGGAGGAGCCGCGGGGGGGGGGGGGCGTGTCTCCATCTTCGCTTCTCTCCCAATCAATCGTTCTAAAATCAATTGTTTTTTTTTGTTTTGGTATCCTTTGGCAACGGGGAGGAAAGCGAAGCGGAGAAGACGCTAAAATCGCGTTACATATGGTTTCACCTTCTTTTTTTTTTGTTTGTTTTGTTTTTCACAAATTGTTCTTCTTTTTTTTCCATCGCTTATATATAATATATATATAATAAGATATTTTTAGAGAAAATATACATCAAAAATTTTGAATAAATCACAGATAGATATAATTTTTTTTTCATCATCATCATTCTTCTTCTTCTTAATCATCATGATCAAAAGAGTTAACATCCTACGCGCACTTCGTCTTGGGCTCTTAATATGTTCACTTACACTTAATAATATATATTTTCTTATATTTTTTCTTCTTCTTCTTCTTTTAAATTACGAACCGAAAGAAACGATGATAAAAGGGTTGCAGACTCGCAAATTTTGAGAGAGAAAAAAAAAACTGTTCCTTCTTACATTTATATATACCGCGTTCTTTTGTTTTATTTTGTTTTTTTTGCCTTAATTTTGTTTAATACATATATAGAATATATTTACTTTTGTTTGTTTCTTTTTTTTTTAATATATATATCATTTGTTTTTTTTTCTTTGTTCAATACGTGTATAATAACATCAAAGCAGTCGAATTTGTAAAACATCCACGAACTTTATACAAGTTTTTCTTTATATTTATATAGAATATTTTTTTTATATATTTTTTGTTTATATAGATATTTTTTTTGTTTGTTTTATAGATAATTTTTCTTATATAATTTCTTTTGTTTTTTCTTTAATTTTTTGAGGTATACGCGACGTTGAAGACACATAGAGATAGAGAGAGAGATAGAATACATCGAATGTTTTTTTTTTGTTGAATATATATATAACTTTTACATAATGATAAGTACACGATTTTTTTTTGTTTTTTTTTTTTGGTTAGAAAACACATTTTTTTTTGCCGAAACATTAAGAACACGCAGAGAGTATTTAATTTATATGTTTTGTGTTTTTTTTTATATATTACACGATTAATTATCGAAAAAGACACATTTTTTCGCTTATTTTTTTTTTTTTGGTTCGTTATAATAAATGTGTATATTTATGTGTATATATATATATATATTTGATAAAAACACCGAATATCTATAATCATATTTTTTTTTCTTTAGAGGTTAAGATCAGAACTGCTTTGATGCGCGATGAAAAGCTTCCTCCATGTTAACGATAGCAACGAAACAATTTTGTTTTTGAAAAACAATTGCGTAAAAATTTTGTTTTTGGAAAAAATATTTAGAAAATATGTGTTTTCATTGAAATTTCTCAGTGTAAAGTTTGTTGAGTGATGAAAATGGTTTTTGTTGCCATCGTTACATAAGACGTGAAACAATTGATAAGTCATTTTGTTTCGTTCTGTAAACATCCATAAAACATTAATTGAATTTGTTATTAATATTATTATTAAAATTGGTCAAACCTGCTTTGATGTAATATAAAAACAAACAAAAAAACCGAAAAAACTTAACTCTCATTTGTTTGAAACAATTGTTTTTTTTGGTTATAATAATTAAAAGATTCATATTGAAAGCTTTTGGAATGTAAATGTTGTCATGGTAACAGAAAATAAATATAATAGAATGTAATTTTAATGTTGTCATGGAAATTCAATATTTTGTTTTGTTTTGTTAATAATTGTTTGAAACAAACGTTTGTTGTTGTTGCTATGATCCATGATAGTAAGTATATATATATATAATTAAAAAACAAACAAACAATAAAATGTAATTTGCGGTTATAAAAAGGAATTTTTAGAAAGTGCTGTTGCTGCTTCTATCATCATTATCATCATCATCATTTAGGTTCTTTTGCCGTTCGCGTTAATCATTTGATTCACTCTAAAGTAACAGAAACAATATATTTATATATAGAATAAATAATCAACAAACACCGTCATATTTTTCCTTCGTCTGGATTCAACGCGCATCCAACGAACAATCAATTATTATTATTACACATTTCGTGGACTCGCATATTTCGTAATAATAATTATAATAATATATATCTTTTGTATAGTTTTTTTTTTGAGCCCTTCTCAAAAAAAAAAAACAAGAAACAACTTTCTTGTCTTGTTTTGTTGTTTTTTATAATAATAATGATAATTTGTAAACCCAACCACAGTTTCTTTGATATTTATATTTTATGTGTGTGTTTTTAGTTTTTACTTATTTTTGGGGGTGTTTCGGTTTGTTTTTTTGTAATTATTTTTTGTTTTTGGGGGTGGGAAAGATATGGGGTTGGTTTTTCTGGGGACTTTTATCTGTCACTAATTTAAATTCGCTCTCGGTTGGTCTCCGCAGTTGGTACTGTGTGTGTTTTGGGAAACTTACACTGCTGTTGCTGCTGCTGCTGCTCGTAGGGTTGCGGCCCTCTGGGCGGACGGTGTCAGTCCTGCGCGGCGTCCGATTCGGAATTGCTGCCCTCGACGTTGCCGTTGTTGCGGATTTCGTCCTGCTGTTGCTGTTGTTGTTGGAGGACAGATCTGCTGTAGCGGACGAGCATTTCCGGTTTGAGGTTTTCCGGTTTGGTGAGCTCCTGCTTGAGATAGATGCGACCCGTGGGCGGTTTGATCTCGTTGTGGGTGTCGTGATCCTGCGATCCTACAGGGGACCTGGGGGAGGAGTCGTTGGAGAGCTCGATCGTGTGGATTCCTGCGGAGTCGCGTGAGTTCGTGTCCTCCTTCCGGTCGTCGTCGCCGGAACTGCTGCTCGGTTCCGGTTTGGTGAGCGGCGGGAGGCGGCTGTTGCGACACAGCTGATCCAGGAGTGCCTTGTTCGACATGTTCTCGGGGGCGACGTTCTTGAGGTCTTCCTTGCGATCGTCTCCACCGCCACCGACGGGGACGCCGGATTCGAGGCTGGAACGGATGATGCCGTCGAGGAAACCGTTCGAGCCGCCGCTGTCGAGAAGAGACTCCGCCATCTGTCGGGCGCTCTTGGCGAGCTGCTGTCCGCCAGGGGCGTTCGCGTTCGCACGGGAATCCTCGTGCAGTTTCTGCATCATCTGCGAGGCGAAGAACTGCTCCGGACTCTGCGGATAACCGGTGGACGTGGAGGATCTGGCGTAATCCATCGGGAGTGGATGGTAACCTGGTGGAGGCCAGAACGGGAATGGCGCCGTGTTGTAACCGATCGGCGTCATGTTCTCGTAGATAGGCAACTTCAGGCCGTTAGGCGAGGTGGGCGGGTACTTTTGTGGTGCTTTTATGGTTGCCTGCGTTTTCAGTTTGCATTCCGCGGCGTTCCTGATGTCGTTCTGCTTCAGAGACGCGATCTTCTCGTCGACGGGGTTCGGTTTTGGGTCCCTTTTGCGTGGCCTCATCAGATGTCTCTCCTTCACCTTGTACTCGAGCGTGGAATGGGGAACGCCGTAGTAACTTCCGGCTCGATGAACGGACATCTCGCCCCTCTGCACCGCCCTCACCGCCTCCACGAGACTGTCGCGATCGTAGTTCCTGTACTTGCCGCGCTTCGGACGCGTCCCTTTGCCACCGCCAGATGACGCCTGTCCCACCTGTCCTTGACTTGAGTTTTGCTGCTGTTGTTGTTGCTGCTTCTGCTGTTGTTGTTGCTGCGACACCTGCGGTTGGTACTGCGACCTGGACGCCATCTCCTGCTGCTGCTGCGTCTTAATAACCGAGATACCACCCAGTGGCGGCGTATACCTCTTGTAATCCATGTCGATGATCGAGGAAGGATGATGCCTCAGTGTCGGCTCCGGACTCTGCTGGAACTTCTGGCTGATGCTCTTCGCGATGACATCTTTGACGTCCTTCAAAGTCATCCCTTTTCCGGGAAGTATCGGCGGAGATCCGGATTCGCTGGTGGTGACCGGAGGAGAGACGAGCAGTTGCGTCTCCAGGTGACCTCCGCGGAAGGCGTCGCCGTTTTTACTGCTCGTCGGCTTAAAGGACGGAATCTTCAGTATCACATTCGAAGTGGAATCCTCCGTCTCCATATCGGATTCGGTCTTCAGCAGGATCACCGAGTTCGCCGGACTCGTCGCCTCACCGCTCGTCGACTTCTCCACTCCGTTGTTGCTCTTCGCCTGCTCCATCAGCATCTGCTCTTCGGCGATCATCCTCTTGACCACCTCCGGCAAACTGACGTCCCCTTCGAGCAACTTCTGAGCGGGAAGACCGCTCATCAGGAGGTTCTGGATGAGAGCGCCGTGCTCGGCGAAACTCTCCTGCTGATGAAGATTCATGTTCAGGTTGTGTTGTTGCTGCTGCTGCTGAAGAAGTGCGACGCCTGGTGGAAGCTGCTGATCCTTCGATTTTCGCAGCAACATCTTCATCGCTTCCGAGTTCTCTAAATTCGAGAGGAGATCGTCCATCGATAAGAGAGGGCGCTGCAGTGCCCGTTCCACCTCCTTCTCCTCCTCCGCCCCCGAAAGCTCCTTGTCCTCGTCCATCGCCTCCTCGTCCTCCAGTTTGGACAGATTCGTGGCGGCCGATGCGGACGAGTTCAGGTGTGATTCCCTTTCTCGTTCCAGCGCCAACTTGTACACCTTGTTTCGGAGCGTCGACCTGGGGATGCCGTAGATGACGGCCGCCCTTCTCGTCCCCAATTTACCCGACTGGATGTCCCTCAGCGCCGCCTGCAGTTCCTCCTCGGTGTAGGTCCTCCTTCCGGCAACTGCGGACATCCTAGGCTTCGCTCTAAAATCAGAACTGAAATTTACAACTCCATCAGTGCATCCATCGTTCGTCACTTGACAAACAAAACAATATATTTACATAAAACAAACAAAAAAAAAACAAAACGGATCAAGAAACAGCAATGATGAATTTCATTCCCTAAAGTTTCAACTTTAATTTGCATATAAACCAATCAAATTTGCCTCAAAAAACAACAAATGAATCAATTTACCTGTGTGGGTGTGTTCGCTCCCGTCCGACGCACCACAATCATGTAATTGTTGCGTGCACTTTTTTGTTGTTGTTGTTGCAATTTTGCGATAGGTCAGGTAAACTAATTGCGCGCAGTTCGCTCTGTATTATGCCGTGTCTCTCGATAACGGGTGTATAAACAACGAAAAAATAACAAAAAAAAAAACACGCACGAATCTGGATGTAACCTATCCCATGCCCAGATATTACGACCGTCTGGTTTTTATCGGCTTTATCAGTAACGATGACAACAGACAAACAAACAAAAAAAAAAGCGACGAATTAATCTATCATCGTTAATTGTTACCACGTAACACAAAACAAAACAAAAACAAAATGATGATGATAATATAAAGATTTTTAAGGAAGCGGGGACACTGCACCTCCTTTTTTTTGTTGTCAAAATTTACTGTTTTCGTCACTTCATCGTTTCGTTCGCGAACTTTTTCACTCTTCGAATTCATTACGCGCGACTCGTTGCGTCGCATCGATGTGTGCACTCTCTTTTTTTCTTCGCTTTTCGTATTATTGTGTATAAAAAAAAAAAAACAAATAATAAAAATAATAAAAAGGAAAAAATGATACGATTAAGATTATTGTTGTTGTTGGCGCATTTCGAGCGAAAAGTCCGTCGATTCGGAACGGAATTTCGCAAGAAGCGAGAGATGCGTTCGCAAACACAGACAGGGGCAAACACACCACGATACATATAGAGAGATATAAAAAACAAATAGACCATGTGCATATAATGGCGGAGTGATTGACCTTTGCGAAGAAGATACGCGGAATCTTTACGCATTATTTTATCGCATCTCTCCCATTCTTCAACTTCTCATTTTCTTTCCTCTCCGTTTCAGTTTTCATTCTTTCCAATTTAACTGTAGATCTCCACATCCAAAGTTCACGACAAGTTAATAGAAACAAAATTGAATCACCCAATTCAAAGTAGTTGTGGCTCCATCTGTTTTCGGTTTTTCAGAACTAATTTGGAAATATAGTTAATTATCAAATTACAATTACCAAACAAATTGCACAATGATCCAATAAATTTTTTCGTTACAAAAATTCAATTTAAGTAATGCCAACCGGAAGTTTCATCAATTTCCCTTGAAAGCTTTATTTTTTTTTCTTTCCTCTTTTATTTGTTTCGTAAAATTAATTTCCCTAAATGAAATATCAACATTCGGACTTCCCGCCACCGCCGCCGCCAAGAACAAACACTTCCGTTTTTTTTTTTCGCTTTCGTTTTGTTTGTCTTCAGGATTTACGGCCGCCAGAGTTAAACGACCTCGAGGATTTCATTTCTTTTATGGCAAGAGTATTGCATTTGTCTGTTTGTTTGTTTGTTTTTTTCGTTCGCGTTTTGTTTACCCGACGTTTTTAATCTTCGCCCTCGAAAGAGTGGGGTCACTGGAATGAGCAAACTGCAATGATGATGATGATCATGATCATGATGATGATGATGATGTTGGTTATGTGTGTGTATACGACGAGAGTTCGAGTGCATGAATGCACTCTAAAAGAAGTTTATTTATAAGTTCGTCGTATTTTTCTCGTCGGCAAATAAATTTATCGGTCAAAAGGGGAGTTTATCGAGAGGCCACAGGCTAATCAAATATATATATATATATATATGTGTGTGCGCGCGGCCGCATTTCATTGTTTTTCCGGAATTTTCTGGAAACCGATAAAACTCTGAAAGATATATATTTTTTTTTTAAATTTGTTTCTTAGGGATTTTTCCGCTTCGTTTTACATTTGGTACCACTGTCGTGACAGCTGTCAAGTTGTTGTCACACATTTTAGATTCGTTTTATGCAAATTAAAGTTAATTTAGTTTGTTTATTTCAGTTGAAGTTTGACTCACTTGAATATCTGTTTGTTGTCCAGCGAAGATAGTCTCGCGTTGACGTTGAGTTTGTCGGCGACGATGGCGTTGTTGTTGTTGTTGATGCTGTTGTTGTTGGCGGCGGCGGCATTATTGTTGCTATTGGTGATGATGCTGTTGTTTGTGTTGTTGTTGTTGTTATTGTTGGTTACTGTGGTCCCTTTGGAGCTGAGATCGAGGGGCTGCTCGCCGGAGGCCGCTGCCGCTGCTGCAGCCGCTGCTGCAGCCGCTGCGGTCGCCGCTGCCGCCGCCGCCGCCACCTTCTCCGTATCGTTGGAGTTCGCATGGAAGTTTCTGGCTAAATTGGTCAGGTGGAACCAGTTCTGGGACAGCAGGTTGGGCGGATAGAACGGCAGATGGGGGTGATGGGGATGGTGGTGCTGGTGATGCTGATGGTGGCCACCTCCACCACCACCACCTGGAGCGCCGTTCCCCGTCAGCGCCGCCACCGTCGCCATCGCCGCTATCGAGGTGACACTCTCGATGGCCGTCATGTTCCTGCTGTTCGGATGGTTAAGGCTGTTCAGGTTGTTGAGAAGGGACACCGCCGCTGATGCCGTCGTCCCCGTCGGCGTCAGTGTAGGGGGCGCCTCCAGGTCACTTCGGCTGTCACTCGAATCCGAGTCGCTCTGATGGGGACTCTGCGTACCAAAAAAAACAAAAAAACAAAATTAGTTAGTTTTCAACAGTTGGCACAATGAGGCACCAACAATAAAACTGTCAAAACAAAACATTCAAATCCGTTATTATCAATTAATTAATCAATCAATCAATTACAAACAAAACGCAATGATTAATTTAACTCGATTTATAAATTAAGTAACGAACCGAACGAGCGTCCAAAACGTGCGGCGTCAACCCGTGAAACGGGGACGCGCAACAAGTTGCAAATATAGCAAACAAACGAAAAATACAGTGAGACAAAAATTGGTCCAATTCAATTTACGATTTGTAATTGTAACTTTGAGGTCAGTTTACTCAACGAAACGCAGATTTCACGTGATTCCAATGTTGTTGTTGTTGTTGTCTAACTTTCAATGAAAACATTGAAATGCTCTAATTGATGTATATTTTATTATAATGTATAATGAATTGCATAATTTGTTGATATTGCTGACATTTACTAAATGTTAATAAAACTGATTTGAATAATTAATCAATAATTATTATTACTAAATGTAAAACGCAATATGAATAAGAAATAAGTGCATGGTGTTGCCTATTTTTTTTTTAAATTTGCGAATTACCAATTGTAAAAAATAAATTAATTTTTGATGGCCTCGTTTTGACTTACGCGAACTGTCAAATGTCACGATGCGGTAAACGCAGATTTCACGTGATTCCAATGTTGTTGTTGTCTAACTTTCAACGAAAACATTGAAATGCTCTAATTGATGTATATTTAATTATAATGTATAATGAATAGCATATAATAAATAATTTGTTGATATTGCTGACATTTACTAAATGTTCATTTGAATAATTAATCAATAAATATATTATAATATTTTTTTTTAATTTGCGAATTACCAATTGTAAAAAATAAATTAATTTTTGATGGCCTCATTTCAACCTTGTGAGGCGTTAAATGTGACGATGCGGTAACAAATAATTGAATTTGATACGTTTGCCCACAGTTACGTAAATTGATAGAAACGTTTTTGACATTGGTGAGAATAGATGGCGCTCGCGTCTAATCGCAGAAGGTGGATTATATAAACAGCGCACACGTGATTTTTCATTTGAAGTATTCTTGACACGAATTCCAAAAATAGAAAATATCAAATCATGTACTTGAATGAGCCAACCGCGACGACGACGACGAGACACGTTTCGTTCTCTCTACTTTATTTCTGCTTCTTTAACTTAAGTCTTAACAATTAGACAAAAAAAAGTTATGATAATAATGTCTATTTCGGATTTGTCCGAATCCAAGAAACTATACGTTTCGCTTAATTTTTTTTTTCGTTTCGCGTGCGTGTCTGTGCGAATAATGCGTACGACCATTTAAATTTCTAAACAAGGCCTTTAATTACGGGCATTATTATGGACGCGGGACACGAAATGCAATTTTGCATAAATGCAAATTGCACAAAGAAAACCGGAGCGAATCGAAGACCTTCCTCATTTGCGACTTATGTCTAATGTATTAGTATTATTAAAGAAAAATTTTAATCAGCATTAATTTCAGTAAACTTAACAAAAGAAACTTTCATTTGTTTTCAATGTACGTAAATCTAGTGACAATTTGATGCATTACCAACTGCTGATAAATAAATATTTTGTATAGTGTTTGTTTTATAGGCAACTCCAAATACCAGAAATTCAAAATTCCACTTGTACTGTAGGCAATACCAAACACTTAAATGAAACAATACAATTACTGAACAGATGGCGTTGTTAACATTCGATGAAGCATCTCGTGAGAATCGACCGAATAATGAAACAGTAGGAAGATTAAGAAGAAGAAAAAAACAAAAGCTAAATTACGGAAACTGCAACTGCAACTACAACAAAAAAAGAAACAAAAGAATCGGATTGCGCGTTAATTGCTCGAAAGTAATTAAATTATTGTGCGTCCATTAATTACGTAAGCAACGGTACATGCATCTACGCCTCCTCGATCATCATTATCATCATCATCAAACATCCGCACACATTCATTTTTTTTTTCTTTCATTATTCTTATTTTTTCTTCTATGGGATCTTTGATTTATATGAAAATGCGTGAACGTCTTGTTTCCATTTCGTTTGTTTCCATCGAGAGTTTCGTTACGGTTTCGGAAATCGCACGCAGTTATTTAGTAATTAGCTTTAATGGTGGACGGCGTGAGTGTGTATTTGATACTTGTATGTAAATGGGAGCTAACTGTAAAATTAGAAAGAAGAAGTAGAGAGAGAAAAAAAAAAGAGAAGGAGACGGACAGATGTTGCGTTTGCGGGGGAAAAAGAGACGGAGAAAAATTGTGGTGGTAACAGTGGGACGAGGCTGATATAATTCGTACAGGAAACGAGTGGAGATGGAAGAAGAAAAAAAAAAAGAATGGCGAGGAGAAGGAAATAATTGTGATGGAGTTGTTGAACGAAAAGTGAAGGAAATTAATTAATATTTAGATCGGATTATTATTGCAGCTACTGAATATATATAAATATTTTTTTTCTCTCTTTACTTCTTCCTTACCTTTACGTCTCATTAGAATGCAGGCAAGTTTCTAAATACTAAGGTCAATCGCATTCTGCATTCAATTGTCGTGGAATTTATCTGCTCTAATTAAAATCTGATCTGTTCAATAAATTTATTCGAAACGATAATAATTGAATATTAATTTTTTAATTGTTAAACAACGAAATTGACTGATTTGATTGTGACGCCATCTAGTTCATACACACAAATCATACTTTTGTATTTTTTCAAAGCGCCAACATTTATATTTAAAAAAAAANNTATTGTGTTGGGATTGTGTAAGAATATGGGATAAATTGGCGCCATCTAGTTCATCCACACAAATCATACTTTTGTATTTTTTCATAGCGCCAACATTTATATTAAAAAAAAATGATTGTTTTATAGGCAACTTCTATTGATGTGTACAATAATATTGTGTTGGGATTGTGTAAGAATATGGGATAAATTGGTCGAAAAACGCGTGGCGTGTTCCTGCCGCCCACGGAAGAGGTTCGCCGGAGCGGAACGATTTTGAAACCGCCGGCGAAGACGAAATGCCAAAAGCGCACGGCGCCGCCCCCGCACTCTCGCGAGATCTCGTGCAATTACAGACACAACGTGATTTATACCATGTGTCGACTTCGTTTTCGTGTTAATACAGGAAAAGAAAAATTGGTTGCATACTTTTGTATTTCCTGTCATCTGCTATTGCTCCATGACAGTCAAATCCGATAGATGGCGTATAAAAAGAATGTTTAGTATGGAGACAACCAGGCAATCAAATAATGGACTAGGATAATATTTGTGTAGAATTTAAGTAAATTTATGAATCAGGGGCGCGTTGAAACAATCGCAATTAGAATAATGACAATGGTTGTTGTTCTGCGATTCGTGTTTATTTGCGATTGCTATTGTTTTTCTAATTATTGTTAGGGATTTTTCCCATTTTACAACGTAAACAAAATTGTTACGAAACGAAAGTCACTGTACATGTTTATAGGTTAGGTTAGATCAGTGGCGAAAAATTGGGAGAAAAAAGAAAAGACAAATTGCAGAGAGAGAATAAGAAGATCAAAACAATGGACGGTTTGCGGTTCGGGATTCAATAATGAGTGCGCCATGCGAATAGTGCGCGCCTTTTGTTTTCGTTCCCTCGAAATCTCCATACAATGATTTATTAATATCGCCTCGTTATTGTATATAATCGTGTATTTTCTATTCGTCCATTTCAATTTGACCGCACGGCACTTTCCCATCTCTTCGCGAAGAGAGAAAAACTGCTGTAGTTAAGGACGCTTTGGCTGTTGTCAAGGACGCAACCCTTGTTACCACGGACGCTGTTTGAGTTGCTAAGGACGCTATAAATTTAATATTATTACGATTTGACATTGTCGCTAGATCTGCATTCATTTGGATTTGAATTCTTGTTTGCGTTACCACACGCTTTTGCCCGGAGGCTCGAAATCTAAGGTGCGGGTCTCTCTGTATCAATTGGAATAAAAATAAGGTCCTCAAGGCGAAACGCGCCGACAGAGACGGAGCGAAATTGGAAAGAATCGCTTCAAGAATGTTTGTTTCTGTGTATATGTGTATGCATACACTGATTGGTATCTATTTATGCACCAATTAATGTGCAACAAAACCGCGGCCTTGTCCATATTCGAATATAAATAAATAATAGTTGGATCGAGAGAGATATATTATTACTAACTGCTAGCTAGCAGCAAATGATATGTGAAATATTTCGCAAACGCGATTTTATTTTTGCGTCGCTCTACTTCCCAATTCCATTAAAATCCTCCAATTATTACTTGCCGATTCGATAATTTATTGATACGAAAACCAATCCAACTTTTGTCCAATATTTTCACTTTTTGTTAGACAACTTATTAGACACTTAATTTTATTTTCAATTTTAAGTTGGTAACATTTTGTTTACTAATTAATTGTGACGTTTCCGGTATTCCCAAAATAATAATTTATAAAATGTGTGTAATTATATAACATTAGTTTAAAATCATAGTTTACGTCTATGTAATTAATTGATTAATTAGTTTAAATTTGTAAAGTTGAATGTTGTAATTGGTTAGTAACATAACCATGTAGATTTTATGTAACCTTTAGTTCTATTGTGGTGTATTCAGTGTATTATTAGATTTAAGTTGGTAACATTTTGTTTACTAATTAATTATGACGTTTCTGGTATTCCCAAAATAATAATTAATAAAATGTGAGTAATTATATAATTATATAACATTAGTTTAAAATCATAGTTTACGTCTATGTAATTAATTGATTAATTAATTTAAATTTGTAAAGTTGAATGTTGTAATTGGTTAGTAACATAATCATGTAGATTTTATGTAATCTTTAGTTCTATTGTGGTGTATTCAATGTATTACTAGTTTTAAGTTGGTAACATTTTGTTTACTAATTAGTTGTAACGTTTCCGGTGTTCCAAAAAATAAAAAATAAACTAAAATGAATATCGTGATAAATTAAATAAAATGTTAGTAAATCGTAGTTTACGTCTATGTAATTAATTGATTAATTAGTTTAAATTTGTAAAGTTGAATGTTGTAATTGGTTCTCGTAACATAACCATGTAGATTTTATGGTGAGTTCAGTGTATCACTAGATTTAAGTTGGTAACATTTTGTTTACTAATTAATTGTGACGTTTCCGGTATTCCCAAAATAATAATTTATAAAATGTGAGTAATTATATAACATTAGTTTAAAATCATAGTTTACGTCTATGTAATTAATTGATTAATTAGTTTAAATTTATAATTGGTTCGTAACATAACCATGTTTGTTTTATGCAATCTTTAGTTGTATTGTGGTGTATTCAGTGTATTACTAGATTTAAGTTGGTAACATTTTGTTTACTAATTAATTGTTACGTTTCCGGTATTCCCAAAATAATAATTAATAAAATGTGAGTAATTCTATAATTATATAACATTAGTTTAAAATTATAGTTTAGGTCTATGTAATTAATTGATTAATTAATTTAAATTTGTAAAGTTGAATGTTGTAATTTGTTCGTAACATAACCATGTAGATTTTATGTAACCTTTAGTTCTAGTAATTATATAATATTAGTTTAAAATCATAGTTTACGTCTATGTAATTAATTGATTAATTGGTTTAAATTTGTAAAGTTGAATGTTGTAATTGGTTCGTAACATAACCATGTAGATTTTATGGTGAGTTCAGTGTATCACTAGATTTAAGTTGGTAACATTTTGTTTACTAATTAATTGTGACGTTTCCGGTATTCCCAAAATAATAATTTATAAAATGTGAGTAATTCTATAATTATATAACATTAGTTTAAAATTATAGTTTAGGTCTATGTAATTAATTGATTAATTAATTTAAATTTGTAAAGTTGAATGTTGTAATTGGTTCGTAGCATAACCATGTAGATTTTGTGTAACCTTTAGTTCTATTGTGGTGTATTCAATGTATTACTAGATTTAAGTTGGTTACATTTTTTTTCCTAATTAATTGTGACGTTTCCGGTATTCCCAAAATAATAATTAATAAAATGTGAGTAATTATATAATTATATAACATTAGTTTACAATCATAGTTTACGTCAATGTAATTAATTGATTAATTAGTTTAAATTTGTAAAGTTGAATGTTGTAATTGGTTCGTAAACTAACCATGCAGATTTTATGTAATCTTTAGTTCTATTATGGTGTATTCAATGTATTACTAGATTTAAGTTGGTAACATTTTGTTTACTAATTAATTGTGACGTTTCCGGTATTCCCAAAATAATAATTTATAAAATGTGAGTAATTATATAAAATTACTTTAAAATCATAGTTTACGTCTATGTAATTAATTGATTAATTAAATTAAATTTGTAAAGTTGAATGTTGTAATTGGTTCGTAACATAATCATGTTGATTTTATGTAACCTTTGGTTTTATTCAGTGTATTACTAGATTTAAGTTGGTAATATTTTGTTTACTGTTTAATTGTGACGTTTCGTGTTTCAGAAATTGAAGAATGTTGAAGAAAATCGTATTGGAAAAATAAGATGTGAGTATTGTTTATTAGTATAATTAATTAATTTAAGTTTGTAAAGTTGTAACGTTTCTTAGAGTGAATGCAACAATTTAGTTTTTATATTTTTCTGGTGGTTAAAATAATGTGTAAATGTGGTTGTATAACTTACCAAACCACCGTGGTTGTTGTGTTCATCCAGTTTGCCGTCCACGCAAAAGTAGCACTTGCTCTGGGGCGTCCAGTCCTTGAGTTTGTCCTCGTCTTCGGCGTCGGTGACGTCGTCCGAGTCGCGCCTGAAGTCGGCAGCAGTCGTCTTCGTCGTCGTTCCGGTCGTGGGGCTGGCGGTCGCGGTGGCCGCGAGGGCAGCCGCTTCCGCCGCCGCCGCCAGATCCTGCTCCTGTTCCTTTGCGAGCGCCGTCTTTGCAGCAGCAGCAGCCGCCACCTCTCCTTCTTCCGCTTCCTCCTCGTCTTCGTCGTCGTCTTCCTCCTCCTCTTCCTCCACCCTTAGACCGGAAGCGACCGCCACCGTCGTCTTCGCAACAGCCGCCGCCGCCGCCGTCGATTCCTCGATCTCCTCCTGTTCCTCTTCCCCGTCCTCGCGGGTCGCCCGCTCCCTGGGCGCCGTCGTCGTAGTGGTCGCCGTCGTCGACGACCCTTTCCTCCTCGTCAATTCCTCCCCCAGCTCTCCGTCCGCTTCCTCGAAGTGCTCCTTCGCACCTCTTCGCTCCTCGTCTTCCACCTCCTGTTGCTGCTGCTCCTGCTTCTGATACTTCTCGTTCTTCCTCACGTTGTTGTTCAGCGGCTGCAAGTAATTCCTTTGCATCGAGTCTTGATACAGCTTCCATTTCCTCCTACCCATTAACTCTTCAGCAATCCTTTCCAACCCTGCAAACAACCAAACGAATCACATTAAATTTCAATTACGAAAACAGTAGAAACAACAACTAAAACTTTTTTTAATATTTCATTATAATTTTCATTCGCGGAACACGAAATCAGCGAAATCAACACAGATATTTAGCGGTCAGCTTTAGGTTTTGAGTGTCGAAGTCGAAGTAGTGCATATAGAAGGAGGAATACACCATGTGTGAGTGTCCAATTACCGTCCGGCATTTCGGTGCGTCGATGCCATTTTGTTTTCTCCGCAGGTCACCTCGATTCAATCATCATCAGTTCGAGTTCTAAAACTGCGAACCATTCATAAACGACTCGATTTTGATGATGATGATGATGATGAGTCGAAGTAGGAGGTGGAGGATAGGAAAACTCGGTTCCCAGTAAAAAAAAAAAAATGGAAGAAGAGAATATAATATTGGGTTCAACAACTCCTCCGGTTCCCAAGTCTCTCACTTGTTCTAACTACTTCTTCCTCTGTTCTTTATTGTTTGTTTCTATAGAAGGGGGGAGAGGAGGAGATGAGGCAAGAGGGGGTCCAAATTCGCGCAGCGATGCACAGGTGTGTAATGATGATGGTAATGGAAATGGAAATATGTATGCTACACAATTGCCGGGCTCTCGTTTTTTAAACACAAACATTAGGCGCGGTGCGGGCAGAAAAAGGAAATTGTTACTGGTTTTTCTTGTGGGAAACTTCAAGGATACTCGGTTCGGATCCGCCCTCCACCTCTCTCTCTCTCACTCTTTATATATTTCTCTTGGTTATTCCTTTTTCCAATTTGCATTTTCCGAACCCATTTTAAAATTTCCATATTCATTCCTTCCACAATCTAATCTTTTTGCCATTCATTCTCCAATGCTTTTAACATCGCATTTTTACCACTCTTTGTTTACAAGTTGGGAAATGAATAATCTTCATTAAGTTTCTATCAAAATTAGTTTATATTGAAGCTCCAATAATAAAATTAAGTGTACTAATCGGAGCACTAGCAGAAAGTTTTCGCCTCAAGTTCTGAATTGGCCGATTCTTCTCTCTTTCTCCTCTCCACCATTGTGTTTATTACTACTACCAAAGGCTCATTCGCATTGAAATCATCATAACGGTATAAATTGCTCATGGATACGCGAAGCGCACACACATTTATATATATTGCTCCACTTTTAGTTAGTTGCATTTAGAAATTTTAATTGCCTGCACGAAACGACTGCGCGAAAAAATGAAATATGAAATTACAAAAAAGAAAAGAACAACAACGATGATGACGGATAAGGAGGATCGAAGAGAGAGGAAAAGAGAGAAACAAATGAAATTTATATATATATATGTATAAATAAAAAAAAAGATAATCAACAACGTAACTAGGTGGATTTTACCGTTTCGCGAAGGAAAAGAAAATAGGAATCTTTCGTTCGTCGTCTCTTTTACAGCTTTAATTGCTTTAATTAGAGACTCTCTTCAGATTTAGATTATGATATACGTGTTGTTGTTGTTGTTGTTAAATTAGGAATGTCTGCTAATTTGAAACAATTCCATATTTTCTAGTTTGTAATCCCAATTTTCGGTATAAGTTTCCGTTAGTGTAATTCTAGCCCAGTGCTGTTTCTTTCTATCGCTTGCATTACCATTACATGTATTATTATTATTAATTTTTTTTTTTTGTTGGCAGTTTTAAGTTTTACTGTCGTAATTCAATGCGAACGGTCGAGTCAGCTCGAAATCTTTCCAGGGAATTCGCTTCGCGGAAAATCCGAATTGTAAACAATTTAAGGAAAAACGATTCTTCTTTCACCGTAAAAAAAGAATTATTTACATTCGCACACACAGTTTTACAAATTATGTAACTCACGTTCTGTTCACAGATGGCGCAAGGAGCAGAAGGATTTGATTAAACTCGCGTCAATTGATTTGGGTGAGTTGTCGAATCTAATCTAATTCAACTTGATCTAATATTAACAAAATAATGAAAAATAAGGAAAGTCCATCATTTTCAGAATACAAACTTTTTTTTTTGTTATGGAAAACTTTGCGTCATTTGCAACAGTTTCAAACCAAGTGTATTATTAGTAACCATAAATTTCATCTGTTCCACTTTTTATTATTACTATATTTTTTTTGTGTTGCTGTTAAAAAGAAGTGTGTGCTTTTTCCCACTCAGACCCCCCCCTGTAATTTATTTCCCATTCGCTTCGAATTTTTCTATCGGAATCATCATAATTTCCGTTTCACCTTTTTTTTTTTTTTTTTGTTAACCGCCCCCTATCGATTTATGTGCAATGTCCGTACGAAAAAGCGCAGAAGGAAATGAAAAAAAAGAGAGAAGCAACAAAAGACGTCGATTGTTATTTCGTGATCGTAGCTCGTAATTTGCATTTCCACAGTGAGCACCACAGTGGGACATCCTCTGTTTCTCTCTCGCGCACACGCACAAGCTCACGCACGCATACCGAAACGACGCAAAGCGAGTCAACGCTGTCAACGATCTGCGAAATGCATGCAAAATGCATGCGTTTGTTCTTCTCTATTTCATTTGTTATTATTTAAAACGATATCTGCATCACCTAAAAATATGGTTGCCATTTCCGGTGCTCTCTCTCTCTCTCTGTTTCTCTCTCTTTCTCTATGTTTGTCCAATGAATTCGTACGTACATATATTATCCGTTTCCGGCACCGTCGAAATCGGCCGATGCTGATAAAATATTCAAATCGTCGTTCCAACCAACGTTCAATGCTACTATTAAAATCATACAATTCAAATGTTTCGCATTCATATGTTGTTTTCGATGTTCACTCTTTTTTGTTTTATATATATTTCAATCGTAGTTGCAAAATTGACAATTGAAGAATTGATGAGAAAATCTAAGACGCCATCTATGTTCTAAATTTGATATTACAAATTGGACAAATTTAAAGTCTCGAATTTCGATGGGTTTCTTGTGCTGCGATCGAAGGTAAACAAACTTGCGAGCGAGCATGGAATTCCCGTTAGTTTCGCTTCGGTCGTAATAATACTCAACAACTGCACTAATACTAATGGTAATAGTAATAATAATAATGATAATGATAATTCCACTTATTTCTTCTTGCTGAGAAGAGAGGAAACGGACGGGCGGAAGGAAAGAAAGAGGAGGTTTGATCGCAATTAAGAGTGATTAGAGTTAATCATCAATCAAATGTAGGAAGGGAAGAAATGGATGAAAGAATGAAATGAAGAAAAAAGTGGTAATAATAAGAAACGAATGGTTGGATCGTTAAGAACGATTCAGAGAATCGGGCGCGGGAGGATGGAAGGAAACTAGAGAGGATGAGAGAGGAAGAGATCACGCTGAGATGCACTCGAAACTGTTCGTAACTGAATTATTTTAACAGCTTGTGGTCTCGAACACACAATCGAACGAATTCAAAGTGGAGAAGGAAATTTGCTAGGTTTCTTTCCTTTGTAAATAATGAAATAACTGACTGAAACTCAATCTTAACCTAACCTTAAAATAACCTAACCTATAACTATATTTCTTTGCACAAACGGAAAACAACGCGTTGTGGATGCAAGGAAAATTATATAGAGGTTGGGGTTTTGGTACACGCAACATTTCCTAACCGATCCGACCCGAAGTGTCTGCGACTTGGGCTAGGTCAGACCCTAATTGATTTTACCTGTTTCTCCTCTTCCCGCTGGGACGCGAATTAAAAAAAAAAAACAATTAAAATTACGTAACCTGTATGCACGTATACCAGAAAGAGATAGATGTAAAGAAGAAAAAAAAACGTACGTGACACGCGAATAAATTTAAACACGAATGAAATAAATTGCGCTAAAAATAGTTCATTTCCATGTAACAACAACAACAACACAAAAAACGCTAATTGCGAATCGCTATTTTTACCGTATTTTGGAATTTACCAGCTGGAAACGACTTTGGCGCCATCTGTTAGAAAAATATGAACTTTGCGCTTTCTCGGTAAAATATGCACAGATGAATTGTGTTCCATTCGGTTATGTTAATTTCGTGGAGAGGAAAAATTTAATGTGTTGAAAGTATAGTTTACTGCTATTTCGGGAAAAAAAACAGTCGATACCAAAATTGGGCATCCTCGATTTTGCTGATCGTAAATCATCTTTCGAGGCGAGAATACGTGCGTACTTGGAAAGTCTTCGATCGAGGCCGCCGCGAACTCTATTCCAAAGCAACATTTCCTAAGGTTGTAATAGTTGCTTACTTTGATTATATAAATAAGTTATTTATATAGTTTAGATTGTTATATGATAGATGGCGCATTCGTTTATGAATGTTGAGAAACAAAAAATAACAATTGTTATTTTCGAGAAGCACAAACAAACATAATTGGCATTTATTGAATAATTTAGCAATAATTTTCAGTGTAATTAGTTTCATAAAACTGTTGAGTAAAAAATAACGTTTAATTAGCTTCAAGTATTATGTAAAAATAACTCGTTTAGTCCAGTTTGTCAATGTGAATTTGGATCGAAGTGGTTCTAATTAATAGTTGTGATTCATTAAAAACTTGTTAGTTATATAATAATGTAAAATGAGTGAATTTTAAAGTTCATTGGGATTTGAAAGGAATGGAAATCAATCGAAGGCCATATCATCCGTTTGTGCTGTTCGTTCTGAACGACGACCGATTTGCTCTAAATCTACTCGTGTTATTATTTGTTGCATTGCATCTCGTCTGTGATATTGCACTTCATAACGCCGAGCCTTTGTTATGCAAATCGGCAGCAACAACGGCAGCAGCAGCAGCATCCTCCTCCTCCTCGTCCTTATCCTTTGATTATTGCCACTGCCGTCTGTCGTCTGGAAAAATCGAACCAACAATGCAGCCGCAGCCGAGAGAGCAAATATTGGTTCACTCGATGATTATCATCAACAACAACAACAACTTCATCATCACGATGACGATCTTTATATTGTTATCGCTCTACTTGTATCTATTGCAGAATTTATTTGCACACGCACAAATCTGAGAA